AAAGTATAGTAGGGAGTAAGGTGGAGCCCCTGGACTATAGGGGCATGGACACTGAGAGTAGTCCGTCCCCGTCTAGTTCGGAGAAAACGGTGGAGGGGGTGAGAGGAGATGAGATGGTGGAAGTTGGGGAAGGAGATGTGGTAGAGGTGGGGTATAATGAGGGAGGAGGGGTTGAGGTAGATAGCATACCCATCACCGTAGTAGAAGTAGAAGGTAATGGGGAGAGAGGCTATGATAGGAATGCAGAGATAGTGGAGGAAGTGAAGCAGTACCAATCTGAACTAAGGACCAGGGAGGACCTGTGTCACTTAGTAGAAACGTACGAGATCTCTTCTCGGGTACTAGTTAGGCCAGCTGGGGTAGAAGAGAGGGCATGTTCTGCTCCTCGGGATCATTGGATGCCCGTATACTCCCATTATTTGTATGCTGGGCTTAAGTTTCCAATTCTCGAGTTGCTAATAGGTTTACTGTTAGATTACAACATAGGGTTGACACAGTTGGTCCCCAACGCAATGAGGGTAATAATAGGTTTTTTAGTTTATTGCCGAGCTCAAGGGATCAGTGTGCCAACTGTTAATATGTTTAAGTATTTTTTTGTTTTAAAGGGGGGTAGCAGGAGAGATAAGGGGTGGTATTATTTCATCCCGAGGGTAGCTAATAAGGAGGGTAGGATTTTATTCACTGCGGGTCCTTCATCCATTAAGGGATGGAAGGGAAAATTCTTTTTTGTGGATGACACAGAATGGGGGAAAGGGGATGCTGAGGTGAGGGCATTAGTCTCCTGGAAGGCCAAAAGGGCCAACCAGAATAGGTTTAGTTTGAATGGGGACGAAGAGGAAGAAGTGGGGAGGTTGGTGAGGAAGAGGGGGGATGTACTAAATATTATGGACCTCACCAGCGCAGCATGCATAGAGGCTGCTGAGCTTTATGGGCCAAGCGCTTTGAGTGAAGGTTTGTTTATCATGTACTGTAGCGTTGAATGTATAGCATAGAATTGTAACTAACATTGTGTTTCTTGCTTTGCAGCTGACATGGAACAGTTTCTGAATACTGCTGGAGGGAAGGCCATCCCCAAGAAGCCAAGGAAGAAGTCAAGGACTTCAGCTAAGCAAGTGGATGAGGGGAAAGCTGGGAAGGAGGTAGTGCCCCTGGCTTCAGCTGAGACGGAGGACGAGGTGCCACCGTTGAAGAGGAAGGGTTGGGAGGAGAGGAGAGCAGTGGAGAAGAAGCAGAAGGTGGTGGAGGAAGAGGGGAGTGGGGTGCCTGAGTTCGTACCTCAGCCTCCTCCTGTTGAGCTGGACCCTGAGCTCAGACGGTTGGAGGAGGGGACTGAGGTACGAGCTCCTGGTAAGGGAAAGGGCCCTGTTACCCCGACGGTGTCTCAGAGCAGCCTGTTCGAGGTGAAGAATATGATGGGGGCTAGGTGGTTTATCAACAACACCTTTCCCGAAGTAGACAAACGCCACGCGCGAGAGGAGGCTCTGAGGTACGGAGGAGCTTCTATGGTGAAGCACGTCCTTGAGGTACGTTAAATTAATGCTGCTGTTTACTTATTCTGTTTCTTCTCTTCTGTTTCTTTGAACTTCTGCTTTGGTTTACAGAGCGCGAGCTGGGTGAATGGTCTAGCCCAGGAGTTCAGGGAGGGTGTAAAGGCGCGCGCACTCTTGCAGAGGCAGTGTGACCAGCTGCAGAAGGAGAAGGAAGA